GTCTTTTTTCGCGGAGTCAGATAATTTCTCAGCGATTTTCCCTGACGGAGACTGGTCGTGGGGTGGAGATTTTTCTCCATCATTTTCTCCTGTTCGCGTCGAATGAGCTTCGTTGAAGTTGATTATCTCCGAATCCCGCTGCCGCTTTCGGATGTTTTCTTTTTCGCCAGCTAGATCCGCAATCACTGGCGAGCTCTATTTTTTGTCTTCTGATTGGCGAAGGATTTCCGCCACTGTTGCGTGCCCGATACTCAACGCGTGCGGCTTTCATTTTGTTGCAGTTGAAGTTTCGATGACCCGGCACCCCGCAAAAATCACACGTGAAGTTGGTGTTTTTCAGACGTGGCCGCCCTTCGAACCTGTCGATTTCCATCGGGTCGGCGAATATGGGGTGAGCCGAGCGATCGCCCTATCGCATACTGCCGACGTGCGCCCGTCGTGTCCCGGCGTTGACCATGTCGAAGCGTTCCGCTGCCGATACGACGTCACTGTAGCTCACGTAATTCGTCGCTGCTACCTGTCGCTTGACTTCGGTCTTCAGCCCGGCGAGGTACGACTGTACTTTTTCCCCTTCGGTCAGGTCAGGAATGCGGTTTTAAAATTCTTCCATCTGCTGCGTGTACTGTGCTACACTCCCGAACTGTTGATGGCGATGATTTTTTTCTTGGGCAAGGAAACCCGAATTTATCGGCTTGAAACATTTTAGAAGGTCGGTGTGGAACTGCTGCCACGTGGCTTCGCCGTGGATGAACGTACTGTTGCCGCCGATCCACTCGAGTGCCGGCCGTCGCATCAGTGTCGCCTCGAGTCGCACGCGCTAATCGTCCCAGACTGGCGAGCTCCATCCGACGGCTGCGAAGTAGAACTCCATTCTAGCGATCCATCTGCGGAAGTCGGAGTTTCGATCGCTCAGATCGAACGGCTCAGGCGGGAGCGGCTTCGGAGCCTCGAGAAACTGTTGCGACTGCTGTGTCGTCGCTGTTGTCGTTTCGTGCTGCGCGTTGGCGAGTCGAGTTACTCGCTCGAACTCGTTTCGCCAAGCTTCGCGGTCGGCTCGCATCTCCTCCTGTAGGGCGGCGATGCTCGCCAAGAGCTGCTGGGTAACCTCGGCGTTGTCAAAGTTCACCATCCTATTCAAAACACGCGCGAAGGGGGTAATTTATAAAAAACGCGGAGCTGGTGCTTACCAGAATACGCGTCAAATTGGTCGCCCCCGGCGGTTTTTCGAGGCAGGAGTCCCGCTGCTGCTGCTTAGCTGAGTGCGGATGAGTGAGAAAAGCTCTGATTACCAAGTGTTACAGGATCGAATGTGTCGAGGAGAAGTTGCACTATCGATTGATACAAGGCGCTTTTTTATTTCCAAGGTACATCAGGTAACCAGGTCTATCCTATCCAAAGGGAATAGACCCTTCTAGAAAAGAGAATCACCCTGCGTATAGCCATGCAAGGCTATTGGCTTTAAGGGATTACGGCAGGATTACGCTAAATATTGCGCACCAGTACATCCCGAGCCTGGTCGGTGATATAATTATAAGAACAGGATAAACCAAAGGATTATGGAAAATGAGGAATAGGAATCCAAATGGAATGAGATAAAGACCAAATGAATCAGGATAAAAAGAGGAATGAAATGGAAAAGGGAGATGGAAAGGAGAAAGGAATGGAATGGGGTCGTCCTCTCACAGCGGCGAAGTCAGTGACAGCAGCGACAAGAGTCGACAGACTCGAGACACGAACGGACGGGCCGGTAACTAGAGAGGCAAGGAAACGAGGAACAAAGGGACGCATAGCACGGAGGAAGTCCGAGAACGGAGGCGGGGCCACAGCAAGCGACGTCGGAGGAGGAGACGGGAGGAGAGGAGGAGCACGAGACGCATGAGACCAAAGCAACATAGGGTGAGAACGCGGAACAGGGGAGTTACGACGAGCATGAGACGGACGACGAGACCAGACGTAGGGTGAGACGGAGGAGTCGGGTCAGGAGAGAGGGGAGGAGACACAGGAGGAGTCCGGGGGAGGAAACACGGGGCCGTGGACCGGCAGAGGCAGAGGCGGCGGGGCGGCTAGGAGACGGGCCAGCACGAGCGAGGCGGCTAGGACCTAGGGCGGAATCGCTAGGGGGGGGGGGGGGGGGGGGGGACCTACTTACTCATGATACCATGTTAAAGTGAGAAAAGTTGACTAGAACAGGACATACAGGAGTACATAGCCTAATGGGTTGCACTCCCTAAGTCACAACCCTATATAGTCTAATGTAACATACAATATATATGTTTGTATGTTTGACAGCATCTAGAAGAGTGCGAGTTGGAAGCACTTGGAGGTCATAACGAATACAGACTGCATGGCTTGGTAACCTAGGCTCCTCTCGGAATCTTGGGCAACAGATTCTGGTACCAGCAAGTGGACGATGCGTTCCACCTGGCGAAGAATATGGGCCTTGCTGCACGACGCACAAACGTGTAGGCACGAACCTTGCGACGACGAGCGAACGTCGCCAACCTTCGCGATAGAGGCTTCGAGAGAAGCTCATGTGGCTGGCTGGCTCGTGTGATGGATGAATTGGATCCAACCCTCCCTCCCACCCACCCCATCCACACCCACCATCAACTCTCCAACACATTCCGCCGCGCAAGAACGATCTGGACCTTTCGTTGCGCACAAAAAATTCAGCGACTCTCAAGCCTAAAAGAATTCTTAAGGTGGTGCAGGAGACTAAGTATAGAATCTGCAGACACAAGTACTTGAAGTAGAAAGTAATACTGGAAGTACCTCCAGTAATAGCCAGTATAAATAAGTTGTAACACCAGAGTCAGTGTTACAGCCTTGCGATACTTCAAGACTTAACCAAGGATCTTTGCTGGAATGGTAGACTAGTAAGACAGCGGAAGTCTTAGAACTTGTAAAGTGTTGACCAGAATTTACTGAAGAACAAGTTAATAATTGAAGTTGTACAAGCTACTTTTATATCTGCTAAAAGTACCTATTCGGTGATGTATCTGTTCGAGCTATTTGCGCTATGCGCTCTAACCGCTACTGAAAAGAGCGCGACTGTTCGCGTGACTGAAACGGCTTGCTGACGTAATCATCCAGACGAGCGCTATTTGCTGACGTCATTCTACGGATGCTAACCATAGTGTAACTCGACAATATCTATCGGAACTACTTACAGAAATGCTTAAGTACGATTTTACCACAACAAAGCCAACGTCTTCGACATCCTACACTTGATCGTTGGGTAGTTCCTCATCGCGTGCAAATTTTTCCTATGGCGTCGTGTCCGGCAGTCCCATAAAAAGCAGCTTCGCGCATCAAGTTCGCCACGCGCTTTCGTTTTCTAACGTTCACCAAAGACCATATTCCCCACCTGCACCCAGACATCCAAGCAGGCCCTCAGATTCGTTTAGACCATACTGAACTTTCAGGGTAGGTACACAAAGGCACCCTGAAAACCCCCTGAAAATCAGGGTTGGTATTGTTTTTTTAACTAGTAAGTGTCAAATTAGGAACTAGGACGCCATGAAAGTGGCGTGAGGTTTTAGGAGCTAGGAGGACTAGGAGAGGGAGATTTGACGAGAGAGAAGAGAACTGACTAGGAAGAGAAAGGGATACAAGGAGGGGTGTTGTACCCTCTACAGTAATGTTCAGTAACGTCTACCAAGCATACAACTATATACGAACATATATAATTTAACACACCCCCTAGGCTTGGTAGCACAAGGACCCATACACCCCCACAACCCCTAACCTAGCACCCCCATTCCCAGCAGCCACGACTACTCCAGCAGGGCCAACCCCAAGACCCTGGAGATGGCGACGGCGGCAGTCCCAGCAGCGGCGATAGCGACGGCGACGACGGCGTGCGGCGGCAATAGGCCTGCGGCGACGACAGCGGCGACGTCGATGGCTTCGGCTTACAACTGCGGTAACGGCAGCGGCCCCCGCCCTTTCGGCGGCGTGTCCAAACTCCGCGACGGGGGGACGACCGGAGAGAATCAGGCGGCGGTTGTGGCGAAGAGGAGGAGACAGAGGGAAGGGGGGAAGGGGCGGGGCTTCGGATCTTCAGCGCGGCGCCATTGCTGGCGCGGCGCTTACTGGCGTGCGGGCGGGCTGCAAGTCCAGCAGCGACGCAGGTGGTGCGCGACGGCAACAGGCCGACGACACCGCCACGGCACCACTACGACGCCACCATAGCGTGGCGTCGGAGCCGCGGCTGCTCGTCGACGCTGAGACGACATCACACAGAGGCCGTCGCGACATCTCAGAAAATGTGCCACGGCGGCAGGCAAACAGAAGGCCGCGACGGCGACCAAGTAAGGACGGGTACGCAACGGAAGCGTAAAGAGCAGGCCCGGGAAGGGCGTCCTACTCTGAAACCATGTCAAACTAGGAACTAGGACGCCATGAAAGTGGCGTGAGGTTTTAGGAGCTAGGAGGACTAGGAGAGGGAGTTTTGACAAGAGAGAAGAGAACTGACTAGGAAGAGAGAGGGATACAAGGAGGGGTGTTGTACCATTTACAGTAATGTTCAGTAACGTCTACCAAGCCTACAATTATATACGAACATATATAATTTAACAGTAAGCCCCTTTTTTTCATATTCCAACGCTGATCTTTCAGGGTCGGTACAGAAAAACACCCTGAAAATCAGCAAAATCAGGAAAAAATCATGAAATCAAAGGGCCTGCCTCCCAGCCTCCTGGTTACTGAATGACTCCTTCCGCCCCCCCTAGGCTGCTCAGCCGTGCCTCTGCCCTTTTGCTACAATGCTGACCATTTGGCTTCTCCCCGGGAGCCGTCCGTTTGGTCGGAAGGAAAACGTGTAGTTATGTGCTCCTTTTAGGATGCTGGTTTGATTAACCATTTCCTTTGTCTGTGCTGTAACGGGTGACGACCTTAACCAGCACATTCCGCCGCCTCTTTAGTCACCAGCACTCGTTCTTGCAGCTCCGTTCCGTCACGTCAAAGGCAGCCATGAGACACCGTTCACAGGCAATTCACCCCGTGCACTGTGCTACAGTCCCATCGTTTCTGCTTGTTCGCAAGGCAACCACCGGTGAATGCGGAGCGACGCCGCAGGCAGGTGGTGCACCGCCAGCTCGAATCAGGCTCGCCACATTTCACGGCTCGGCGCTCGGCCGTCCAAGGTGCCACGGCAAGGTTTTCGCTCGCGCCGCACTTGTAACGGCCGCTCAACCTAGCCCAGGGTTAGAAGACAGAATGTAATTATCGTTGTGTATTTATTTCCGAGTGCAATTGGAGCGTCACGCCGCGCTTCGTGGTATGCCGCTGGGCCAGCATAAGCAGCCCGCGTCCCGTCTCTCCGGGTCCAATCGCGCCTCTTGATAGACCCTCCTCTCTCGCATAGCCGCTCACTGCTGCTGTCGACTGCCGTGGCGTAGTCGCGCTCACGGCATGGAAGAATCCCCGTTGGAGAGACCGGCGGCGGAGAGGCCGTCGGGGGAGAGGCCGTCGGCGGAGAGGCTGTCGGCGGAGAGGCCGTCGGCGGAGAGGCCGTCGGCGGAGAGGCCGTCGGCGGAGAGGCCGTCGGCGGAGAGGCCGTCGGCGGAGAGGCCGTCGGCGGAGAGGCTGTCGGCGGAGAGGCCGTCGGCGGAGAGGCCGTCATTGCTGCCTCGCCTACGCGAGCTGGTCATGCAAGCTACGGCGAAGAAGAAGTCGCCCCCGCCCCCGCCACCCGCGCGCGCCTCCGCTCCTCCTCACCCGCGTGCCTCCGCTCCCCCTCCCGCGCGTGCTTCCGCTCCTCCTCCCGCCACCAACGCTACCAGGCCCGCCGCGCGCAGCCCCGCGCCCGGGACAGGCCCTCACGGTCGCCCTCCTACTAGCGCCACCCCAGCTCGAGCGCGCTCTCCTATAAATCCCCCAGCTCGCGAGCCGTCACCGGCTGCGAGCGAGCAAGGGTCGTCGGGAGACCCCGTGGAGTCTCCGCGCGGGTATGCGAGTGCGTCTGGCAGTGAGTACGAGAGCGACTATGGGAGTGTGTCTGGTAGCGCGTCCGCGAGTTGGTCCACGGAGTGCTCTGAGGGGGACGAGTGGAGCGACGAGGCGAGCACGGACGACAGCAGGGAGCGCATAGAGAACTGGGAGAACGCTGCGCACAGGCAGGGCGTTGCGCGCACAAGGCAGGCGCGTGGCGGGCGGCAGCAGCGCAGGCAGCGCATGGTGTGGACGGACGTGCTCACGGTGGACCTGGTGCGCACAGTCATCGACGCGCTCGCCCGGCACGGGCGGCCGCCGTACGCGCCCATCCACTGCTGGTGGGAGATCCTGGACGCGTGGGACGAGCGGCACGGCGGGCTGGGCCTCACAGTGGCGCAGCTGCAGCGGCGCATCCGCGTGGTGACGCTGTGGGTGAGCCACATCCGCCACATGCAGAGCTTCTTCCCGCCGGGGGTCACCTGGAACCCCGAGCGAGAGTACTTCCGACCAGACCCCAAGGTAATCACTCGCGCGTGCGGTGCACCTCGTTCGTCGTCTCGCTGCACACGATTCCGTCAGTGATAAGCACCATCTGGGTGGGTCAGCACTCACCATCTCATGCATGCTGTGCCGCATTGCCGTGTGTGCATTGTGCAGCTGGGGGTGTTGGAGCGAGTGAAGCGTCTGCCGCAGTGGAGCAGCATGCGGCGCTGGCAGGCGCACAAGGCGCCGTGGTTCCCCCTGGCGCAGCAGCTCGTCTTCCACAGCAACCAGCGCGGCCTCTACGCCATGGCGTCCAATGAGCCCTTCACAGACCGCTTCCTCTGGGACGACCCTGGCGGCGGAAGGGGTGGCGGCCTCCGCCGCCGCCCTCGCCCGGCTGCTGTTGCCCCTGCAGCAACTGCTGCTGCTGCTGCTGCTGCTGCATCCCGTGGTGCTGAAGGTGATGGGGAAGGGAGTGGCGGGGGCAGGCAAGGAGCGCGCAGGCGCCAGGTGGCTTCTCCGTTGAACGAGCCTGTGAAGCGCAGGCGAGTGCAGAGCAGCAGCGCTGGCGACAGGAAGACGGGAATGGCCCGCGCCTTGGAGCGAGAAATCACCATCACCTATCGCCGTATCGGAGACCGGATTGTTGTGCTGGGTATGGCCGAAGGAAAGGGTATCAGTGCAACCACCATCTCCCCCCTCTGCTAGGTGCTCTGTGTGCCGCCACGTTCCCTTGCCTCACCTATTGGTTTCTCTACTGTGCTTCCCCCTAATAATGCAACACCTCACATCATCTCGCCTTTCCCTTCCACGCCCTCTGTTCCCCACTCCTCTCCAACCTCTTTCTGTGTGCGCAGCAGACGAGTATGACGAGTATCTGCCGGCAGCGGAGAAGGCAGTGGTTGAGATTGAGGGCCTGTCAACCCGGGAGAAGGAGGCAGCGGTGCGGGGCTTCCAGAAAACGCCTCACATGGCACGCTTGTTCCCGAGCTTCAGTGTGGAGATGCAGATGGAGTATGCCAGGAGGTGCTACAGGGACGAGCAAGCAGCCATTGCTAAGTACTGTGGCCGCCAATTCACCGATGAGGGTGCCCGAGACAGCGGTTTCTGCAAATGATGTTTTTTTGGTGTATGGAGATGTTGGTTTGGTAGTTGGGAGGTTGGGCACGACAATTGGTGGCGGTAGCCTGGTTACGTAGCCCTGCTTGCAAGGTCCAGTGGTGTGGTTGTTGGGGAGCTGGCGTTATTGGCGCATATATCATGCGCTAGATGGGGAGGGGACAGTAAGGACTGGGTGGAGCTTGCTGGAGTATTCAGGGTCCAGTAATCAGTAATCGGAGCAGGACAGATGTTTTCTTACAAGGACTTTTTGGTCTACCGGGCTGCTCATGAGAAGCTGTCTTAGGGCGTGTCCAGCGCGTACGTTTGATTAAGGTTGGGTGAGGTGCCTCACGGATCAGAAGGATTGATAACAAATCTGAAACGGTTGGTAGGGTTTTGACAAAAAACGTACGCGCTGGACACGCCCTTATTGCAACTCCCCTTTCACCAAGCGCGGAACGGAATCCAAACCCAGCCTGGGCTCGGTGCAAGTTTTGGCGCTCTCACGCCACTCGTGCACATCAGCAACAATAGGCTGTTCGTATGGCTTTATTCTCCTAACTGCAATCACCAGCAGCACCAAAGCGTTCTTAATCACGCGCCCATGGCGGCACCCGCCGCGCTTTCGCCCGTCGCGTCGCCTGCGTGGCGGCGGCTGCTGCAGTCGTCCATCGACGCGCACGCGCACATCCCCGCCGCGTCCTTCGTGCAACTCGTGCGTGCCCTTCCGCCCGCCTCCCTGCCCGGCGCCCGCCTCGCTGCGGCTTGTTCAGCGCCCATACTTCCCAAACAGCTCATTAGACCAGCTTTCCCGCGCCCCTTGACCAGCTTCCACCCTGGGGCGAGGGCCGGCGCAGAGGCATCGCCCCTGCGAGACTCCGTGCGGTTCGAATCACGCACCTCGTGCCGTCGCTGACGCGCCTCACGCATGTCCTCCCTGCCGTGAGAGATATCTCACTCCCTGCTTGTCCCACGTGTGCGCGTGGTGTCTGCAGGCCACAGTGCGGCCCAACGGCACGCCAGCCAACCGCTCTCTAGTCTTCAGGTACAGCTTCACTTTCCCTCGCCTTGCCCTTCCCCCGCATTGCCCTTCCCCCGCCCCCTTGCCCTCCCCCACGCTTTGCCCTCCCACTGCGTGACCTCCCCACCTTGCCCTTTCCCCCCGCCTCGCCCTTTCCCCCCGCCTTGCCACTCAACGGCAAGGCCACTGTGTCACCTCTGCAACGCTCCCTCCTTCCCGTCCCTCCCCCCTCCCCCCTCCTTTCAACCTCCCCTTCCGCCCTCTCCCCCGCCTCTCTCCCAGCGCTGTTTCTTCCCACCAAATGCACCGTTTGTGACCACGCATGCCCTCTCACCTTTTCTCCTTCCTATTCAAACCATCCCCTGCATTGGTTGCCCCATCCCTGTATTTCTTCCCTCAGAGGCTTCCTGGAAGATTCCGACAGTCTCATATTCTACACTGATGGGCGCAGCAGCAAGGTCCACTTCCGCCCTCCTCCCTCCTCACTCTAAAATCTCCTCCCTCCTCCCTTATCTCTCCCTAACCTCTCCTCCACTTTGCATTTCTCCCGTTCTCGTCCTCTCCCTCTTCCCTTCTCAAGTCTACCTTCCCCTCTGTCAAGTGCTCCCGCAAACCCATTCACACGTCACTGCTGGGCCCCACTGCAACCCCACTGCCCACCCTTTCTCAAAGGCATGCGATGACAGTGCCTGCTACTATGCTCATACAGTCACTCCTCTTCTCTCTAGCGTGCTAGCCTGGTCAACGGCGCGCGCATGCTCGTGCTTGTGTGCATCGCAGTCATGCGCAGTGCGCACCCACATGGATGGATGGACGGATGGATGGATGGATGGATGGATGGATGGATGGATGGTTGGAAGCATGCCGTGTCTCGAGCTTTCCTATCTGACCATACAAAACTCAATCGCGTGTCTGCCCTTCTTCATGTGCGTCCATGCACCAATCCACCGGGCATAAACCCCCCTTGGTGCAGGTCAAGGAAATCGAGGCTTTCCCCCAAGCAGAGGTATGCCAGCTCGTAGAGCTCTTCGATGCACAACTTAACGCCTCTTTTGATTGTTTTCTGGTTTGATCTGTAGTTTCTCCACTCTCCTCTTATTTGGCCACCTAAACCCTTCCGTTTCGTCCCCTTCTCCCATCTCCTCCGTCACATCATGCAAGAGGCTACCACCTGTGCGCACCTCTCTCATTCATCCGTCCCTTTCCTACCGTCTCTCTCCCCTCCTCCTGCAGCTCTGCTGGTACTTCTGCGATTCATGGGAGCAGTTCCGCATCGCTGGCACCATCTCCACCGTTCATGCACACTCGCCCAACCCTTCACTCGTCAATGTGCCTCCCTATCCCTTTATCCTCCCTTCTTTCCTCTCTCCTCCCTTCTCCCCCTTCCCTGGAGCCGCCCTTCCTTGTCTCTCCCGCCCCCCTTCCCCTCCGTCATTTTCCCTTCCCCAGCCTCGCCTTCCGTTCTGTCCCTTCCTCCTGTTTGCATTGTCCATCCCTCCCGTGCTGTGGGGGCACACGGTGTCCATGTGCGCTGGGTGCTCTCCCCTCGTCCCTGCCATCTCCACTCTCACTCTTCACCCTCCAGTCTCTCCCCCACACCTCCCCTCCCTCTTTTCCCTCCGTCGTCGTCCTCCCCCATTTCAAATCCTCTTCTCCCCGTCACTCTCCCCATCACCCTCCCCTCCCCCCCCAGCTGCGGCGGGCGGCATGGCAGCCGCTGACAGCGCAGCAGCGGTGGCAGTACTGCAGAGGGTACCCCGGTACGCCCTGGGAGGAGAGCTGCGAGGGGGAGGCAGAGGCAAAGGGCCGGCCGGAGGGGCACGAGTCGTCGCTGGCAGCGATGGCGCTGCTGACAGAGCCACAGGCGCAAGAGGGCAGTGGGGGGAGCAGCACGGATAAGGCTGAGGGTGCAGCAGAGGGTGTTGAGTCGGTTGAGCCGGTGGAGGGCTTCTGCCTGCTGCTGCTGGACCCCCATGAGGTAGGGCTACTGGCTGGGCTGCCAGGTTTATAGGCCCAAGCCCGAGCTCTCACGCCGTATCATGCCCCTGCTGCTTTAAAGCTGCGGCACACATTCGCCAAATGTTTTTCAAGTTATACGCATTTGAAACGCTGGTTACCTAGTTCCCTGCTGGAGTTGGCGAGATTTCGTCACTTGATGAAAAGGTTTGAAGGCGGGATTGTGGGATTTGTGTATCCCACAACTCTCGCTTTGACAGTGTCTCTTCTCCCACAATCCAGATTCCCCACGGCACGGCTTCACAATTTCGCTTAGGGATGAGCAAAACCGGGTAAATACCCGACCCGACCCGGTTTTGCCATACCCGACCTCGGGTCGGGTATTTTCGGGTTGGGTCCGGGGCGGGTAATACTCCCAGGACCATTACCCGGATCCGGCCCTTAATGGCGGGTAATATAATACCCGCTAGGCGGATCCGGGTATACCCGACCCGTTTAAGGCTAAAAGCGGGTATTGCTACCCGCTCATGAAAAAATGCCTGAACAACCTCTGTTTTACCCTCTGTTGCCATTGGTGTGTTTGTCATGGTGCCCCCCCGGGGTGGGCGTCGACAGCGTGGTCTTTAAAAAACAATCTAAACTGGGTCGGGTAGCGTTTTTGCCAGCATTAGAGGGGCGGTACCCGAAGTCGAGTATTCAATACCCGGCGGGTTGGGTACCCGTTACCCGACATGTCGGGTAAGATTTCGGGTAACGGGTATCGAATACCCGCCCGGGTAACCCAGACCCGACCCGCCGGGTAATATTCGGGAATCTTGATACCCGACCCGCCCTACAAGCGGATCCGGGTCCAGGTACCCGCCCCGCCCGGGTATTTTGCTCAACCCTAATTTCGCTTCCCCCCCCCCCCCCCTTTCTCCTCCCCACGCATTGCAATTTGTTCTTCCCCCTCTTCGCAATTTCGTCCCCCCTGCTGAACCTCCAACATTTGACTGTGCAACATCTATTCCCCCGGTCCAATGCATTCGCATGAACTTGTCTTTTTTTTGCCTCTTGTCGCCCAATCAACCTCGTCCCTCAACATTGCTCCAAGACATTATATCCTCAGCCACACTGAATGTGCAGCACGACCCTTGCCACATTGGACTCACACTGAATCTCCGTGCATCCCGTCAGAACTCAGTCACTAACCACTGAGTTAAAAGGGCTTGTTAATAGCGGGTCAGTGCGCCCATAGGCCCCCAGGCTCTGCACCTGTGGCCCTTCCCCGAGGACCTTCTCAAGGGTAACCCCAGGGGGTCTCTCGACACATCCTTCTCCTGTCCCTCCTGCGTTGTTCACAGGTGGACTATGTGCATGTGCGAACACCCTCTAGGTACCGACACACGAAGCACGTGGCAGAGGCGGGGAAAGAGGCAGGTGCAGCAGGGAAGGGAGCTGAGTGGACTACCATGCGCATCCACCTCTAGGCACTCACTGCGACTGTGGACTGCCATGCCACTTGATGGCCACGTTTAAATTGAAGGCCTGTAGGACCCTTGCGCGACAGCTCTCCAGATTCTTTGGACAAGTACTGCTGCTGTTAGAGAGCTGTTTGGTGCATGCAGCTTCTAGACAGTAGCCTATATGCTTGCATTGCTGACAATGACAGGACATTCTCTTCCTAACTGATACCTTGATCGTCCTTCAGGAAAAGAGTAGCGAGATGAGGTGTTCGACGCAATTATCGTCATAGCAATCTGTCGAAGGATGAGACATTGCCTGTAACTTGTGTTGTGATATGATTCATGCTTCGCATTTCTGTAAGTCGATTATCTATAAATAGTATCGAATCCTACTGTAGAAGAGAAGTCCATAGGATGACGTCAGCAAAGAGTGCTCGTCATAAGGACAGTCGTTTCAGTCACGCGAACAGTCGCGTCTCTTCAGTGTCATTTAGAGTGCATAGCGCGATAGTGTCGAATAGGTACTTCTGTTCGGTATAAAAGTAGCCTGTCTTCATTGTTTAGTTAACTCTTACAACTGAATAGTTGATTAGACAAGAAGAGTACAGGGGTATAAGTCTAAGTGTTGTACCCTCTAGGACACAAACCTAAACAGTCTATACAAACATAACAATATATGTTCGACACACCCCCTAGGCTGCATAGGTGCAATTCCTGATGAGAGAATGGACAACTAAGGGTGGCACAACTAGACCAACCTCTGAGGCAAGGGTCAAAAGCAGGGTTTCAGCTAGGATTTAGGGCTGTCTGAAAATCAGACGGGTTTCCAAAGTTTCGTCTGACCATCAGACGAACATTTTCAAGGAGTCTGAGATTTCAGACGAATTTTTCCCGTGAGTCTGAACATTCAGACAAAAAAATTGCCGCAAGAAACTTCGCCACTTGCAATTTAGACTTCAATTTTTCTGTTTCCTTATTTCCTACGGAGAGCCTGTTCCTCCGTGTCAAACATGTGTATTTGTCATATTTGTATAGACTGTATAGGGTCACCTCTTAGAGGGTACAACACTTAGGTATATTTGTGTGTACTCTCACTCTACCATCATTCACTTCTCTAATTTTGATATGGTATTACGCATAGGTTAGGATCCCCCCCCCCCCACCTACCGCTTCCGCTCGCCCCCCCTAGCTCGGCCCCGCCGCGCCTCCCTCCTAGCCCCGTCGTGCCCCGAGCCCCGTCGCGCCCTTCCTGGGCCCCGTCGCGCCCCTCCTAGGCCCCGTAGCGCCCCTCCTGGGCCTCGTAGCGCCCCTCCTGGGCTCCGTAGCGCCCCTCCTGGGCCCCGTCGCGCCCCTCCTGGGCCCCGTAGCGCCCCTCCTGGGCCCCGTCGTGCCCCTCCTGGGCCCCGTAGCGCCCCTCCTGGGCCCCGTCGCGCCCCTCCTGGGCCCCGTCGCGCCCCTCCTGGGCCCCGTCGTGCCCCTCCTGGACCCCGTCGCGCCCCTCCTGGGCCCCGTAGCGCCCCCCCCCCCCCCCCCCCCCCCCCCCCCCCCCCCCCCCCCCCCCCCCCCCAACCCCTGGGCCCCTCCTGGGCCCCGTCGCGCCCCTCCTGGGCCCCTCCTGGGCCCTGTAGTGCCCCTCCTGGGCCCTGTACCGCCCTTCCTAGGCCCCGTAACGCCCCCTCCTGGGCCCCGTAGCGCCCCTCCTGGGCCGCGTCGAGCCCCCTCCTGGGCCCCGTCACGCCTTCCGGCCCCGTCGCACCCGCCCGGCCCCGTCGCACCAGTCCGGCCCCGTCGCGCCCGCCCGGCCCCGTCGCACCCGCCCGGCCCCGTCGCCCCCTGCCCGGCCCCCTCGCAGCCGCCCGGCCCCGTCGCACCTGTCCGGCCTCGTCGCGCCCGCCCAGCCCCGGTGCGCCCCTCCTTGGCCCCGTCGTGCCCCTCCTGGGCCACCGTCCCGCTCGCCCGGCCCCGTCGCACCGGCCCGGCCCCGTCGCACCGCCCGGCCCCGTCGCACCAGCCCGGCCCCGACGCACCCGCCCGGCCCCGTCGCACCAGCCCGGCCCCGTCGTGCCCGCCCGGCCCCGTCGCACCCGCCCGGCCCCGTTGCACCGGCCCGGCCCGTGTGCTCGTCCCTGCCCCGGCCCCGGTCCTCCTCACTGGTACGGTTCTCCCCCCCCCCCGCCCTGCACTGCCCTGCACCGTACTGCCACGCACTGCACCGCACTGCACCGCACTGTACCGCACGGCACTGCACTCCACCTTGCTGCACTGCCCTGCACCGCACTGCACTGTTCCTGATGGCGGCGGAGCTTCGCTTCGACGCTGAAGGCCAGCCTCTGGAGTTCGAGGCGTGGCTTGCCGACCTCCGCTGCCAACTCACTGGCCAGCGGCAGAATGGTGAACCGCTTTCAGCACACCTTGACGGTACGCTCCCCTGCCCACACCCCCCTGCTATTTTGCGCGCTAACTCCACCCCCACTGAGCGCGAGTCTACTGCTGCCACTGCCCGTGCGCGCTCTGTCTGGCTTTCTCGCGATGCTGTCGCCTAGCTTGCCATTAGCAACGCCCTTCCCCCGTCCGAGCGCCCTCGCTTTAGGTCCCTCACCACTGCTCAGGCATACTTAGATGCTGTCATCCAGCACTATTTCACACCTCCGGCTGCCTCGGTGGGTCGCCTGATCCTCCCGATGCTCTTTCCTGACCTTGCATCTTTCCCTACTGTCTCTGACCTCGCTGGCCACCTGCGCTCGATAGATGAGACCTGGCGCGCTGCCTGCACTGACGCACAGCTTAGAGCCCACCAGCCGCCCATTACCTCTACCCTCTACATGCTTGCCACCCGCCTCCCTGACCGCCTTGCTGTCGCCCGCGACCGCTTCCTTAGCATTCACCCCGCAGACCTCACCCTCACTGACTTTGTAGACACCCTGACTGTGATAGAGACCCGTCACCGCTCCATCGCCCAGGCGAGCGGTGTCGTGCCGGTCCCTATCTTTCAGGGTTGTGCCCCCGCTCAGTGTACCTTCTCCGACGGCTCTGCCGCAGTGGCTGAGACTGCTGCTTTAGCGCAGTTTCGTTCGGGGAAGGGCCGCCGCCCCAAGGTTGGGCGCGGCGGAGGCGGAGGCGGGGGTGCGGGAGGGGGTAGTGGTGGGGTCGGGTCGTCTGGTGCTGGAGCAGACGAGGGGACCCTGCCCAGTCCAGCTGAGCCGCCGCCCCTGCAGTTGCAGCAGCCGCAGCAGTCGCCGCAGTCGCAGCCTTCGCAGCAGCCGCAACAGCCGTCGCAGACACGGCAGACGAGTGTCCTCCCGCCCGGGTGGCCCGGCGCTGGCGGTGGCCTGGCGCGTGGTGGTGTGTCGAGTGGTGGCTCTGGCGGCGGGCGTTGTCAGTACCAGATCCAGACCGGTCCTCGCCGCGGCTTCGTTTGCGGTAAGATCGGTCACTCCACTCCCCGCTGTTTTCGTCGCCTGGACGACCTCTTTCGTCAGCGCTTTGGCCCGTCGCCAGACCTCCCGGACTGGCACAGTTTGCTTAGTCGTAAGATTCAGATCTTTGATATGGACATGGATGCCATTGTTTCTGCTCTGCATGTGATGTATGTTGATGACTCTAGTGTGCTTCCAGCTTATTACTCACTGTTGCCTAGTGTAGGTGTGCCTAGCGTAGCCTCCCCTGCTGCGTCAGGCGTAGGATCCTCTGCTTTGTGTAGTCTTGGTGCTTCCGTCGTCGTTCCGTCGCCAGCCGCCTCTGCTTCGCTTTCCTTCACCTTGGACTCTGGCGCTTCTCAGTGTTTCTTCCGCGACTCCACCACCCTGACGCCGCTTCCTGTTCCTGCTGCCGTTTCTCTTGCTGACCCCTCCGGCAGTCCGGTAGTCGCCCGCAGTTCTACCACCCTTCCCTGTCCGGCGGTTCCTTCGGGCACTCTCACAGGTCTGCATATCCCCTCGTTCTCCAGGAACCTAGTTGGTGTCGGCTGCCTCCAGGACCTTGGCGTCACCACTACGTTCCCTGGTCACGAGCGGTATGCTGTCTGTACCGAGGCCGCCACTGGTGCCCCCCTGTCCACGTTCCCTTGGGACCCGGTGTCCGGCCTGTTCACTCTGGACACCGTGACCCCCCCGGCTGGAGCGCTCACCCAGGTTGCTGCTTCCTGCTCCTGTCGGTCCCTCACTCACCCGACCCTCCTTTGGCACCACCGCCTAGGTCACCCTGCGCTCCTGCGTCTGCGTCACATGTCCCAGCACGGTCTTGTCCTTGGTCTCCCAGGTTCTCTCCCCGCGTTTCCCTCCTCCCCAGCCCCACCTTGCACGCCTTGTGTCGAGGGTCGGCTTCGCCGTGCCCCTCACTCCTCCTCGTTTCCCCCTACCGCCGCGCCGCTGCAGACCCTGCACCTGGACGTCTGGGGCCTCGCCCCCGTCCCTGGGCCGCGTCGAGAGCGCTACTTCCTTGTGCTTGTCGACGACTTCACTCGTTACACCACAGTCTTTCCCCTGGAGCGCAAGGCCGACGTGCCTGGCGCTCTCATCCCCTGGCTTGTCTCTGCGCGTGTCCACCGCGGTCTCCCTGTCTTGCGTCTTCACTCAGACCGTGGTGGCGAGTTTGCCTCCGGTGTCCTTGGTCGCTTTTGTCGTGCGGAGGGCATCACCCAGACGTTCACCCTACCGGACTCCCCACAGCAGAATGGGGTCGCTGAGCGACGCATCGGTTTGGTCATGGAGGTGGCTCGCACCTCCATGATCCATGCCGGTGCACCCCATTTTCTGTGGCCGTTCGCTGTGCGCTACGCTTCCCACCAGCTTAACCTGTGGCCGCACCCTCAGCAGCCGCAGGTTTCGCCGACCCGTCTTTGGACTGGGTCTCCTGGTGACGCGTCTGCGTTCCACGTCTGGGGCTGCCTTGCTCACGTTCGTGCCTCCGGCACGGACAAGCTCACTACCCTCACCCTTCCCTGCGTCTTCCTCGGTTTTCCTCTTGACGCGTCCGACTGGCACTTTTACCACCCGCCGTCTCACCGCTTCTTTCACTCTCGTGACGTCACCTTTGACGAGTCCGTCCCCTACTACCGTCGCTTCCCCCATCGTGGTCCCCCGGTTACCACCCCCCTGTTCCTGGTCACTCCTTCCCCGGTAGTCCCTGCCCCTCCTCCTCCTCCTCCCCGTCCCGCTCCCTCTGGTGTGTCCCACGTCACCCCCCTTCCGTCGGAGGACCAGGATGAGGAGTCTTATGACTCTGGTGTCCCTCCTGTGCAGTCCTCGCCGGCCGCCCCTCCCCCGGCGTCCCCTTCCCCGTCCCCTCCTCCACCGCCTCTGCCGCCGCTGCAGCCGTCGTTGTCGCTGCCGCCGCAGCCGCCGTCGC